GTTCTCCCTCAGAATCCACCCTCTCCCCACTGATGTGTTCAAATCCTACCCATCCTTCGAGATTCACGTCAGACACCGCCTCCACTGCAAACTCCTCTGCTCTAGATCTTCTGCAAGCACCACCAAGCCACTCTGCTCCATTCTCCCTTGGACATACAGTTCATCTCCCCAAGTGGCTCCATGTTCTTCAAAGGCACTGCCCCATCATCTTGAACCACTCCCCACGCCCCCCACCCCACCAAGAATGTGGGAAAGGGAAGCCCTTAATGACCATTTTTGTTGAGCCAAGAGCAGTGCTAAGCGTGTCCCCAGATTTAGCTCATGCATGCCTCTTGTTATTTACCACATTTCATCAAATCTAAGATGCGTGGATATGGTGCCATCTTGATCTTAGTAGAAGGTGTCCACAGAAGGTTTTCCCACGACTCCATCACAAATACCAGCTGGCTGACAGCAACTAAGATATGCCACTGACTGAAAGACGCATCTCAATTTCAGAGCAGTCACAAGGTGGAAACGTGTGCATCTTAGAATCGATGAAGTAGGGTGTATCCATTTTACAGGTGAGAAAACAGCTTCAGAGAAGCTACAAGTTGCTTGAGGTTACATGGCTGGGAAGTTGGGACACAAACTCAGCTGACTGGCCCCTCGTGCCTGCTCCTAAGCACCACGCTGCACTGCTCTCAGCCCCCAGACTCAGGTGGAGTCAACTCTGGCATTTACACATCAGCCCCTACTGGTCACAATCCTCCATGGCTCCGACAGCTGGCCACTGGCTCCTGCGATGACCAGAGGCCTGGTGTTTTCTGGGCAGTGCTCCCTTCAGGAAGGCCCCTGTTTAATAAGTGTGCTCCCTTCTATGGAATCAGGCTGGGAGCCACAGCTAAGGTGAGCAAAGCTGCTTCCACACGGGAGTAATCCCTGCCCATCCAAACAAGATCCAGTAACATGCCTGAACACAAACGTGGATGCCTCCACAGCAGTGAGGAAAAAAGCAACATTTTCTTGCTACTGCCGCCCAAGCCCTGTTTGGACACAAGGAAATGTGGACAGGGACAGTCTGTCCACTTCCTTCCTGGACTATGGCCTGTACAAACAAGTGGTCAGAAAGGGCCACTCAGCGGATGGGACAGGGGACATCAGAAGAGTCCTTGAATAGGGGTCCAAACTTCATTGTTTCTCACCAAAAGGAAAAGATGTGCACACAAAGACATCCACTGCAGTTTTATTTACAAGAGGTGCAAATCTGGAGACAACATCTAAATGTCCAGTGACTGCGAAGGGGGACAGACTACAGAGAGCCACTCTGAGGAGAGCCCCCAGGGCAGGAGGGCAGTGAGGAAGGGGGAGTTGAGGCCTGGGCTGCTGCCAGGGCTTCACCATCACAGGGGGTTGCTGTCTGCAGCTGCAGCCTTGCGGGGACACCGCATCCACCCCGCCTGCCCGGGGCCTGCTCTTCACCAGCGTGTCCTCCACCTGGCTTGTTCACTCCGTCCCTCCATTACTGATTCAACAGATGCTGACTGAGAACTGGCTGTGTCCCTGGCCTTGAGGACATGTACCTACCTCCCTGACCCCAGAAGCCTATAGTTATGCAGGTCCTCCACAGGCTCGCCAGTGTCATGGAGGCCCCTAAGAGGAGCTTGGCCCTGCTACAGGAGGGGGGTCAAGGAAGCTTCCTCACAGTGATTCAAACCTCCTTTCCTTTCGTGTAAAAAAAAAAAAGCAACTAAAAATTCTCAGTCAAGAGTTTGACAAAAGCAAATGGGCAATCACTGGCACCTAAGCCCACCATTCCATTCTTACAAACTCTCTTCTGCGTCTCACGGCCGTAACCTTGGTGCGCTGCTCTGCAATTGGGCCTTCAGTCTCAACTAAGCACTTCTCCTGTCTTCTTGTCCAGTCTTCCTCTCCCTGATGGACGGTTGCGGAGTATTCTGTACCACAGCTGACTCTCCCTCATCCTCCATTGTTTACATCACGGCCACGTTTTGCCAGCATTTCACCTCCCCCTTCCCCAGTATCTTATCCCTCTAAGAGAAAATCCCCACTAGTGGGGTTACCAGGTCAAGGGGTGGGAACATTTTTCTGGCTCTTGAAACACAGGGTCAAACTGTTTTCCCAGGACCTCACACCAAGTCCTGCGTCTCCAGGAGCCCGGGAGGGCGGCGTTCTTTCCTGCATGTCCCGAGCCTTGGCTCCACTCGGGATGGCACACCCTCCCCTCTTCCGTGGGGGCCGGGCCAGCGAAACGCTCATGACACCTGCTTCACTCACTCATCTCCGAGGACGCCTGGGTTCAGAGGTGAAAGCCCTTTGAAAACGCTAAGACAGTGGGCAGATGAAAGGAATTGGTCTTCTGGGGGTCCATGGGGACACAGACAGCCCATATTGGCCCCACAAAAGCAGTGTTTTGAGGCTGGATCACACCATAAGAGCCACAGAAACAAGGCAATGATAAAAAAAGTTCCCCACACAGGGATCAGGGCTCCAAACTCAGTAAAATAACCAAGCTTGGCTTCCCATGTACAAGAAGCCACCTGCCCACACAGATTCCTTGGGGGAACAGGTCCTCATGAGCCAACAGCCCAAGCCTGTTCAAAGGGCAGTCTCAGGGCCCTGTTAAACACTCTGCGGTGTCCTACGGGAACTGGACACGGGTGTCAGAACAATTGGGAATCTTCATTAAGCAAGCAGAGCTAGAATCAGGCCAGTCACCCCTGCCATGTGCCACCCAAGAGGAGCTGGCCTGCAGAAGGCCCTCCTGTGTCTGACCCTGTAGGCAGCAGGTGCCAGTATCTCTCCCCCAACCCCGGGCCAGCAAGGGGGCCCAGGCAGTGCAGTGCGGCTCCACTAGGAGCAAGATACATACATGAGGGCCGGCCCGGTGGTGCACTCGGTAGAGTGCAGCGCTTGAGAGTGTGGCGGCGCTCCCGCCGAGGGTTCGGATCCCATATAGAGACCGGTCCGCTCACTGGTTGAGCGCAGTGAGGGCGCGACACCAAGGGTTGCGATCCCGTTACCGGTCACAAAAAAAGACAAAAAGGGAAAAAAAAAAAAAAAAGATACATACATGATTACCTTGGTTAGAGAGGATGGGCTGGGGCAGGGAGGCAGAGGCGGGAGCCACGGTGGTGGGGGAGCTGCTGGGTCTTATGCAGGGGGCAGCTGACAGCCGAGAATCCTCACCACCCTGAGGAGGAGTGCTCAAGTCAGGCCAGGAGAGAAGAGAACACAGGAAGAACAGGAGGAGGCCAGGGACATGAGGAGGGAGGAACTCAACGGGTCTCACCTAATCCTCACAACTGTCATGGTCCCCATCTCACAGATGAGAACAGAACATGTGACTTGCCCCAAGGTCACGCAGCCTGGGAGTGGTAGAGCCTGGACAGAGCTATCTGCTGGCCTCCTCCCCCCTCCCCCCACTGAACCAGCTCCTTCCTTGGCTGGCTCCTCCCACCTCCCACACAAAACTCACCTTCTTCTCTGGGTTGCTCAATTTGGACTTGACCTCCTTGGCTTTCTGAATTGCTTTTAGCACTTCCACGGTGTCCAGCTCTTTCTCTGTGGTCACTGTGTCATCCAGACAGACCTACAGAGAGTCCAGAAAGTAGCCATCAGCATGGGCACTGGCAAGCACGGTTGGGGAGGAAGGACAGAGGAGGGAGCAGAGCCTGCTGAGCAGCAGGTGTGAGCACCGCTGGACGCCGAGGGAGACTCAGCCTGCTGGGGGGTGGGCTCCTCACCACCCACGGAAGGGACCTGGGAGCACCCTGGGGGCCGGAGAGGTTCCACATGCCTCGTCTGTCTCTGAGAGTCCCTCTCCAAGAATGGGAGGCAGTGACTTCTTGGGTGGCTAGGATTGGAGGAAGGGCATGATTTGAATCAAACCCCCAGTTACAGGCTGAATGCAGATTGTTGAAGAGCAAGGGGAAGCCTTCCAGGCAGGGTTACTGGGAGGACAAAGACACAGACAGCAGGAGAGGACAGGGCTCCCAATCTGTGAATGCAGGGGTGGGGAGGGCATAGTAGTGGAGTGAGGGAAGGTCCCTAGGGCCTGGACAGGAGCTGATGCCATGGGGTGGGAGTCTCCCAAGGTCAGAAGCCCAGGAAGGGGGAGGAGATGTCATCTTGTGATCATCTTGGTGACACTATGAAAGAAGGGACATGCAAGGCCAGAAAGAGGGGTGTGGGACGCAAATAGACTCCCAGGTGTTTTCCGGCCTGGGATTTGGGGAGAACACAGGCTCCAAGGAATGGGCAGGGTGGGCAGGGGCCTGCTGGAGGCTGAAGTCTGGACAGGCACAGCCAGAAGGCAGCAGATGTTAGGCTGGCTGCACTGACAAGGCTGGGAGCACCTTCGGGTTTGCAGTCAAGACTCTGTGGCCAGAAGTCATCCAGGGAACATGATTATTTAAAGTATCTTATTTCTGATTCTTGTTTAGAATATACGATGTTATTTTTTTAAAAGTTGAAGACAGTCCCTCTACATTCTGTGCCTGTTTGCTCGGGAGGTGGGGAGCCCCCTGGCCTGAAGCTCTGACCAAGGTGTAAGAGGAAGCTGAAGCTCACTAGGGAGCACACACGGGCAGGCAGCACCAACAGGAGAGGGGCGGGAGGCGCGAGGGAGCCTTTTCTTAGGGAGGCAGTGGACTTCCCAGAGCCAAGCGACCTCAGGTGGGATGTTCTTCTGAAGCAGGCAAGGGTAGAACAGTGGACACCCCCCACCCCCAGCTCTGCCTGTGCAGACGTGGGCTCCTCTGACAGGGCTTACCTCGGAGGCCCTCTCTCCAAACTGAGCGAGCACCTTGGTCCGGTAGTCAGGGATGATGCTCAGAGGGTTGTTCAGCAGAGCCACGTGCTCCAGACAGGGGAGGCTGCCTATGCTCCTGACCTCTTCCATCTGCAAGGTACAAGTTCCATTCCTCCTGGTGCCTTCTCTGAACACTACAGCAACATGGCAACACACCTAATGGCTTCGTATTTTTTCTTTTTGTGGCAGGCCAGTATAGGAATCGAACCCTGGACCTTGGTGGTATCAGCACCACACTTTAACCAACTGAGCTAACTGGCCAGCCCTCTGATGGCCTCTTTTAAATGAAAGGAACCGTAATGCTCTTCTTTAAAGTGATAAACACCAAGGCACAGAAATCCCAGAACCCTGAGATCCTTTTGGGATGTGGCTCACCTGGTCGATTCTGTTGTCGCGGAGATCCAGGTTGACCAGGGAGTAGAGCTTGTGCAGCCCACTCAGACTCTCCAGGAGGTTGCCTGCCAGGTTCAGGGTCTTGATGTTCCCCAGTTTGGTGTGAACCCCTTCCAAGGAGGAGAGCTTGTTGTAGGAGAGGTCCAGATGCACGAGGTTGTACAGGTGCTATAGCAGCATTGAGAACAGGGTAATGTGGTTCAGATCAAGTCTCCAAAGAAAGGGACTGCCACTAATGGTGTGACGGGCCTTCCCACCTAAACCAACCAATTGTGTGGTTAAACTAAGCAAGTCAGTCCTGTTCAGTTATTCTGACAGTTTTGGAAAGGGAAGGCCCTCCTCCCCTGCACATGCCACAGCCCACTGGCACCCCCTGCAGACAGGTTAGGGATGAACAATGAAAACAAGGCTGTCCATCTTCAGGACAGAGATGGATCATCTTCATCAAGCTTGGTTTGTATTGACTCATCGTTTCGAATTCTTTGGAACAACTATTCAGTGCATCCCTGGGACTCTAAAGGGAAGGGGGCAGCCTCTACTCTTACAAATCCCTGGGGTAGGCCAAATTCCCAAGGCTGCATCAGCCTCCTGAGCTCTCAGAAGAACAGGCCTTAGAAGAGCAGGCCCCTAGGAGTACATGCAGGTGGCACTGGTCTCCAACAACATTACCTCCCCTGGGGTAGGCCAAATTCCCAAGGCTGCATCAGCCTCCTGAGCTCTCAGAAGAACAGGCCCTTAGAAGAGCAGGCCCCTAGGAGTACATGCAGGTGGCACTGGTCTCCAACAACATTACCTGTAGATTGTCCACGACCAGCACCCCATTGTGACTCAGGTCCAGGAATTCAATCTTTGGGATCAGTTTCTTGTGAAAGAAAAGAACACCTGATGTTCCTCTGGGAGGGTGGATCCTACACAGTCCCCACACATGGTGATGGAGACCCCAGGACTCTTCCTCCTGACCACAGACTCCTGGCTGGCCATCCCTGCAGGGCCGCTGATGCAATGCCTCCCGTTGTCCACCCAGCAGCACATCCAAAGGAACACACAGGGACTCCAGTGCTGAGCACTGTTTTTCCAGAACACTGGCTTGTCAAAATGACAAATGGTAAGGTCCCAGAGAAGGGAGTCTGTCCTTCAATGTTGCTCACACCCACTGAGAAGCACAAATATAGGAAACACACTGCTATCACCCAAATGCCACCTGATATCTCTCTTACATGGGCACATCTTTAACCTATGGAGTGATTTTCTGCTCCATTTAGAAGTATATGTCATATCTTACTGCAGTTCTATTATATCAAATGTACGTGCAATTAATATGCTTCATTTGTTTCTAAATATTACCTCGTCAATTTTGAATAATCCCATTTTGAAACTAACTTAAACATTGTAGGCAATGCACAGAGCACTGTACACAGGTTTCCTGTGGTCCTTCCAGAAAAAGCCAAGTTAAATACCCAACCTTAGGGTTTGGTCAGACAAGAGAAGTCCCTAGCACTGGTTGCTGAGAGCATACCACAGACTCATCGATCTCAGAGATGCTGTTGTGGCTCAGGTCGAGAGTGGTCAATGCTTGCCAGGTGGGGATGACGGCAGTCACAAGGCCTTCGAGGGCTGTGCCTTCTGGCTCCCATTCATCAAATTCCAAGGCTTCAGGAACAAGGACTTCCTGCATAAGAACACCTGTAGAGCACCATACTCCGGGCCCTCACGCAACACTCACTGGGAACATGATCATTGCAAAATTTAAGGAAAGGCTGCAGCATATTTAACATGTGGAAGTGAATTTGCATTAAAATGGGGCTTGGGTTCATACGACTTTAAGCGATTGTGAAATAACTGAAAAGTTCAGCAACATAACAGCCACTTAGAATATGTTCTGGCCCTGCTTCAGAAGCGCACACTTTTCAAGCCTACAGGACCTTTTGCTACTGCCTTTTCTGGCTTTAATATTAGAGACTGAAGGTCAGAATTCATGGAGCTTCTAGGCAACTGTACTTTCTGAACTGACAATGTGGTCTCCACTGCAGACAGCAGGCTCTTTTAACCATTACTTCACAGGGATGAAATCCAGTAAGGCTAATACAAGGGCAGCAGCATGGAGCACAGAGAGCTTCAGGGGGAGGAAGGCAGGCCGCTTCATTTTACTTCTGATACCCACAAGATCTCTCCCCTCACAACAGATCACCCCGGGCTCCTCCAGCCAGCAGCGAGTAGTGCCCTGGAGAAGGACAAGGCGGCCCGATGCCCCTGCTTCCTCCACAAGCCTCCTCCTTTCAGTCAGTCGCCTCATGAGAAAACTTTCTCACCCAACCTGAGTCTTGATCAGACACCGTAAGTCATAAAATTAGCCACTATAAGCTCCTTCTTTACCTGGGGAAGGATTTTAACATTACTAAGGCGCAATCCATAAAAAGGTAAAAAGAAAAGAAATCTACATTCCCAGTTCGAATTTTTCTGTTGCTCCCGTGCAAACAACAGGGCCTAGCACTTCCACTGCCTCAACTGCCACCTCAAGTCCACGAACAAGCTACAAATGAGTGCTAAGCCAGTGCCTGCTAGGCTTAGAGAAACCATTATACCAATCTAACCAATAAAGGTCCTGCCACTTGCCACAACTTAACAATTTGTTCATTAAAAACCAATGGCTTTTTGGGGGGGCGAGGGGGAACACCCAGTTCCTTAAAACATCTTGTTAACAACATTGATTTTTGATGAAAATGTGTACTAAAGCGTCCCAGGGGCTGTTGAGTGTTGGGAGGCCCCGCACGAGTGTGTAGCTACCAGGGAGAAGGTCCAGCCTCTGGGTACTGACAGACAGCAGTGTCCACACCCATCCACAGCCTGGGACCTTGTCCCACAGACAGGGCCCCAGGGAAGAAACAGGTAAAGTTTACCTTCATGGAGGTTGCTGAGAAGCGGACGCTCATTGTGGCTAAGGTGGGCTTCGATGCCACCAGCCCTCGGATGTGCTTAGCATCACAGTGACTTATCTGGAACAAGAAACAGGTGAGTCTCAAGATACGGCATCCTTGTTCCATCAGAAGGCCCGGGAAGTGAGTGTTCATCACCCATACACAAAAGAAGCACGACAACAGGCAAGCCCGAATCCTCCTACGGAAGGCAACTCAAAACCTTAGTCTTTTTCCCAATGTTTAGCGCTAACTTAACATCCTCTGAAGTATCTCATAAGAAGAGTGTCTGGTTTCTCAGACTCACAATGAACCACAAACTCCATTTCCTCTGTAACGGCTCTTTGGGACTTGGCTGGTAGACAGTAAATGTGGGTCCTGGACACCAGAGCCGGAGAACAAGTGGCCTTCACACTCAGTAAGTGGGGTGGGCCCTCCTGCTCACCAGCCCCTGCTCCACTGACCCCAGCTGTCCTGTGGCAACAAGTTAAAGGGTACAGGCCAAAGCACACTCTCCTATGCCACTTGCCCCAGCGCTCCACACCTACAGACCCAGATTGACAGAGCCTCAGCCTGCTGAGCTGGGGCTGGGTTGCGCTTCCTCTCATTTCTCAGTCCTTATCCAGCCTGCAGTGGTTGAGGCACACACCACAAGTTTCCATCAAAGGGAGTGGTCCTCAAGGTCTCTTAGATAAGCCTAGACTGTTGCAGGCAGAATAGTCCAAAGGGTGGCAGAGGCTCTGGAGTCAGACTCAGCTGAAACCAAATCCCAGCTTTCCCTCATTAACTGTGTGTTCCTGGCCAATCTTCCTTACCTCCCTGACCCTGTTTCCTCAACTGTAAAATGGGAACAAAAGTGCCCACTTCACAGGGCTGTTGGGAATTTAATCTAGGAGTGTACATCAGACATGGGACACAGGGCTGAACACAAAAAAAGCCACGCTCAGGAAACACATGCTTTAAAACATTTTTTACTATTCATTACTGACTCCCCTTCCTTTTTAAAAATGGTAATAAAATCAGCATTGCAAACCAAGGAGTTCAGCAGTGAGTAATGCAAAGCATTTCTTGTTAAGTGTGGGCGCCCCAGAGGGCAGAGAGCCCTAAAAGTCCTTTGCTGACCTGCCTTGGGAAACAGAGACTGGGACTTGGCTCTTTCTGACCCTCAGGATGACTTCCCAGGACTGTCCCCACAAGGAGGTCCAGGAGCCGGGTGCTGGTGCTCCACCCTATCTAAATGCCCCACGGCCTGTGCCAGGGGCAGAGACACGCAGAGAGCCAAGGATAAGAGAGGCCCCTCTTTCTCTGCCTTCAGAGGTGTCTGACTTACCTAGAAGAATCTGCCATATACTGCCACACACAAAAGGAACAGTACCTTATGAAGGAATCTGGAAACATGACATCAAGAATGCTCCCTAGCCCCAGTCAGGAACAAGATAATGCCTGCGTGGGGGTCGGCCCTGCCTGGGCTCCAGTGGCCCTGGGCCTTACCTCCACCTGATGAAGAGACTTGAATATTGACAGATCAAATGGCAGGAGCTGCTCCTGAATGTTGCTGGTCCCAAAAGGTCCTTCTGTGCCAGAGACCTGAGGCCAAAGATGTCGCTTGAATTAGGGATGCTGATGCAGCCGCTCCCCATCCACGTTCCTGGGGTAGTGCTGCAGCAGCTACGAAGCACCAAGCTTTGACCACTTCTACCTTCAACAAAGCAGGCTAAGGCCAAGGTTTACAGTAATGGGACACTAGGTCACGACTGCCCCCTGGTGCTCACAGCCAGAAGCACAGTGTCAAGAACACCAGGTGGACTTCCTTCCACCCATGGTCTCCTCCACACACACACACACGCCAACCAGTGAGCTGTTAGGCCATGGCAGGCTGCAAACTCATCGACTGAGCATCTCTCCATGACTGAGCTGCTGCAGCTTTACCTTAAGGTACTTAAGGCGACAAGTGAA